TCTGCAAGAGCAGTCAGTGCTCTTAACCACTGAGCCATCTTTCCAGTCCTGCATCATCATATTTCATGCTACAACAGATAATACATATCTAGAAATTTAGGTTCCCTAAGTGTCCAGTCTTGAGCACCTGAGTTGCTGTGCAGGGCTCAAGTTGATAGTGAGTCCTGGGTTAGTTAGAGTCTCTGACCTCTCAGATCTCCAGAGTTCTGTGCCCTATACCAAAATTTCAGCTGCTCATCATGGCTAAGATGTCTTTCTTGAACCCAACACAGTAAGGCTGTTTATCAGGGTCTACCTTACAGAAGGGCTCAGGTTGATTTTGTCCCTCAACCAACAGACGAAATGCCCTTTCCCTGACCACAGCCTGATACTCACAGGCAGGTTAGAGCCTTCATGGGCATGGGTTGGTGTGTAGACGTTGAGATATAGGCAGTCCTCAGACATGGGGGTGGGATTCATGATCAGCTTCATCTTCTTCAGACTGTCTGAAATCATCATATCAGGATTTTGTAGACACCTGGTGATGGTGGAAGGAAGTTTTACCAAGAGATGTGTGGTGACCAAAACCAGGTCTGAGTCTGGTTTTGCTCTCAGACACCTTCAGCTGCTGTTCTCCATGATGCTATGCCAGATCCTTCCCTGCAATTCCTTCCCACAAAGGTAAAGGATACACAGGCTCTGTGGAAGGTGGGATGGAGCCCAGGCTTCCATCCAGGTCTATTTGTATGTGAGCCTGGATGATATTCTTCTTGAGACTAGGCTATGGAGACTTCTGGGAGTCTCTTTGAAAATGTTTGGCTGCATGAGGTGACATTCACCACTTCTCCTTGTACTCCTTAGCACCTGTGGTGATGGTTAGTTGTGATTGTTGACTTACAAAATTTTAGATCTCCTGGGAGGAGAGTCTCAATGAGGGATTGTCTAGACCAGATCGGCTGTGGGCATTCTTGTGCGGGATTATCTTAATTACTTTAACTGAGATTGGAAGACCTGCCTGTACTGTTTAGGAGTAGAGAAGGTGAGCTGAGCATGACCCTAAGCACCTGTGGTGATGGTTAGTTGTGATTGTTGATTTACAAAATTTTAGATCTCCTGGGAGGAGAGTCTCAATGAGGGATTGTCTAGACCAGATCGGCTGTGGGCATTCTTGTGCGGGATTATCTTAATTACTTTAACTGAGATTGGAAGACCTGCCTGTACTGTTTAGGAGTAGAGAAGGTGAGCTGAGCATGACCAGGCATCCACACATTGTTCTGATTATGGATGTGATGTGACCAGCTCCTTAAGCTTTTGCTGCTCTTCTCTCCCCCAGGATGAAATATAACCTGGAATTGTGACTTGTAATACAACCTTTCACCCCTCAGTTGCTTTTGTCAGTGTCAGAAAATGAAGGTAAGGTACATGGTTATTGGGGTGCTGTGCCCACAAAGGAACTATGGGAATGAATGGACAATACTGTCCCATAGGGTAGTGGAGCATCATTCATCCCCTGCTCAGGCTCTCAGGAAACCTCCTCTACAGTCTCCATATGGACACACATATACTTGGTCTTTGGTCACTGGCACTTGGCCTTATTGGTTATAACAGTTGACTGTGGAGGGTGTTATTGCCACGGAACCACTACTGCCCCTCCCAGGGACCTGCAGTGTGTGCTAATGGACCCAGGGGTTCCTACTGCCTAACAGGTTACACTGACTCCTGCCCAGAGATGCCTACCATCATGGCAGAGATACTTGCATAGTCTGAACATAGAAACAATTTGTCAATTTGTCTTGGCTCCTTTCTGTAGTATCTAAATTCTTATGGGGGCCAGACTCTGACTCAAGAGCCGGGAAAGGTTGCTTCCTCTAGATCTTGGCACATGCATCAGAAAAATGCATGGGAGACTCTCCCTGACACAGAGAAAACTGCTGTGGGGCTGAGATGGAGGAAGAACTACAGTGTGGTCCAGAGTTCAGTTTACCTGTTCACTCCAGCCTCTTGGGCCCCAGGACTTACATGGCTGGTTGTGATGTCCCATCTCTCACACCACTCCATGGTTCAGGGGATTCAGGGGGTGCAAAACGCAGTGGTCCTACAGGTGGCTTGGCAAAGGGAATTCCCAGGAAGCTATAGACTCCCACTTGATCCTTCACATGGACGAAACTGCCTCGCACCTGCCCCGTGTATGTGGTCCGGATGGGACTATCTGATTCCTGGCCTGTAGGTGAAGATTTTCCATCAGTGTTCATTCATTCTTATCAGCTAGCACCACACTGAATGAGCAAATGCCTTTCTTATTGTCACCAGGGTATGCAGTGGGAAGGGGAATCCTGGGTCTCTCAGTTCAGCTGTGGGATTAGGAGGTGGCTGGTTTGTGTCCAGGGCTAGGAACCTTGGCCAGGTACTTTAGAAGGGTGCCAAAGAGGAAATACACTCTGGCAACATGAAGGTATTATTGCTACTATCCAAAGTTCAGCAGCAGCTAATGTCACAGACACATAGAGAGGAAAATGTGCATTTGGTCTTTCTTTCCCCTGATGTACAGTTTCAGCTCTCCTCAGAGCTCTTCACACTAAACTGGTGCCTCTGTATGGGATGACCTTAGATATCTATGACCTTCTGTGTGCTGTAGGGTTCATCCTGTGATCTTTGATGAGGGCACTGTTAGGCACACGTTTCTGTCATCTACCATCTCTACCACGTCTTCCATCCTTGGTGCCTTCCCTCCTATCATCTCAGGCTCTGATTCTGCAGAATTTTGCAGCTCTGATACCTTTCCCTCCCCAGTGCACCCCTAGGGTGTCTTACCCTGCACGTGGAGGAAGAGAAGCAGGAACCCACAGGCCACAGCATTCACCCAGCCAAGAAATCTGTCCAGTGGCATGATCGGCCTAGGCCTGAGTCTGTGCTGCTGCAGGGTGATCTCCTTTCACAGACAGCAAACACAATGTGTGGGCCTTGCTCAGGCAGGAATTTGAAGTAAAAAGAATGTAGGTGGGGACCTCGGTTGGGTGGGGCAAATTTTTTATTGCTCAAAGAACTGCCTGATTAGGGAACAACCAGCAGTTGGAGCAAAGTCACCTGGGTTATTTCTCCTCCTTTGCCCTCTTTGAAAGGCACAGCATGGCTTCTGCAGTATTTCTGGATACCAGTAACCCTCTCCTCAAACTTAGCATCACCAGGATCCCTGTCTTTGTACTGACCAGCTCAACATGGGTGGTGTTTTTGAGATCAGGGAGCAGAAAGTTGTAACAGGAGAAACCAGGAGGGCTTCTCTGAGTAGGTATGTACTCAAGATGTCACACATGAGTAATAGCATTTAGGCATAGGGAGCTCTGAGTGTGATCTTCATCTTGAAGACTCTTTTGTGCTTTTAAGATTCACAGTTTGGCTAGCAAACAGCCTGAGAGGGTGGTTTCAGACCTCCTCCATTGGTGTAGCTGCTGGGAGCTCAGCAGGCCACCAGAGAGTGCTGGGTTCTGGCTTCCCTCTGGCCTCCAACTACCTGAGGGCCTGAAAGAAAAGGATAGAAACCTTCCAAACTCGTTTTATGAAGTATTGCTGTGATATCAAAACAAGGTAAGCCACCACAAAAAAAGGAAATTACAGACTGATCTCTTTGATGAACATAGATGCAAATTTCTCAAGAAAATACTTATAAACCAACTTAAGACCACATCAAAAATATCATTCCTGGGGTTGGAGAGATGGCTCAGTGGTTAACCACACTAGCTGCTCTTGCAGAAGACTGGACTTCAGTTCCCAATATCGACGTGGTAGCTGGCAACCGTCCTTAATTCTACTTCCAGGGGATCCAATGCCCTCTTCTGACTTCACTAGCATTGCATAACATGGGTGCCCTTATATCCATGCAGGCAAAACACTCATACACATAAAATAAAAATAAATGTTAAAATTTTTAAAAAAAAGATTCATAGTTTAACAGTAACAACAGGCCTGGCAAGATATGCTTATTTGTACAATAGTGGGACAAATATTATGAGAGTAACCAACCCCTCTTTTATTGGATTTAAGGTTCATCTCCTAGTATGGAACCTGTGGCTAGACAGACCACAGGACATAGAGGAGAATGTCTCAACTCTCTCCAGAGAAGTTTCCTTATGCAACAGATGGTAATTAACACAGAAACCCACAACTAGTCAACATGTAGAGAACAAGAGGCTTCAGAGTGCTTATCCCTCAATGGAACACTTATCTCAAACTTCTGCCCATCAAGGCTTGGGATCGTTGCAGAACAGGGAGGGCAGAAAGACTGTGAGAGTCAGAGGTGACTGATGACCACAAGGAATCAGTTTTTCAGAGAGGTGTTCAGTTACCCATCGGAACTCACAGCAATGGTGACAGCATGTACAAGTCCCATACAAACTCAATCCAGGAATATTCCAGTATAATATGAGAAAGTGGATAAGAAACTCTAACCTCACCTAAGGAAATTGTGGCAACAGGTGGTTGCTGGTATGATCAGAGACAGTTTCTTTCAAGTATGAGATTCTTAGTAGGTTAATCGGGCTCCAGTGGATGGACACCACACTGAAGGACATCTGGAAACCCATTAGACTCCATAGGCCTTATTAAATATGTATTAGAGTACATTACATCAGGCAGGAGGCAATAAGGCAAAGTGCAGATGGGGAGGGGATGTAAATTACATCAAATGACATTGTATGAAAATGGCCAAAATTCAAAAACAAAGTATTTTTTAAAATACTCATAGCTTATTGAACCTACCTTCAGAGTCCCTGGTACCCTATAATGATCTTAGGATCTGCAGTACCCCTCCCATAGTTCATGACTGTTCCATTGAAATACAATACTGTTCTGGCATGTCTTAAGTATGCATCCCCTATTCACTCCATACCTCAAATGTGGCTACTCTAGTGGCTAACACCTGCCGAGATCAACTTCACTGGCATTTATGTGCTTGACATTACTATTATTTTGGGGAGAGTCTTTTTGAGACAGGGTCTCCCTGTAACCCCAGCTGTCCTGGAACTCAGTCTGTAGACTAGGCTGGCTTTGAACTCACAGAGATCCACCTGCCTCTGCCTCCCAAGTGCTGAGATTAAAGGTGTGTGCTACCATGCCCAGCAATATAGTGTCCATTTTTAACACAAGTTTCTTTTTTCATTGTAAGTATGTGTGGGCACTCTCACACACCATGGCACAAATTTGGAATTCAGAGGACAGACAGTGTAAGGTAGTTTTCTCCTTCCATCATGTGGGTCTCAGGGTGGAACTCAGGCCATCAAGCTTGAAAGCAAAGTCTGCTGAACTATCTCATTGGCACCCACATGACAATCCCTGTTGGCATGAACACTGGGAACTACCTGGGTTCTCAGAGTCTATTATAAAACTGGAGATAAGGGTCTGTAAATAGGATTTTCATTATGATAAAGAATCACAAAGTAAGGTAATCAAAGAGCACAGGATCTAGCCCTGAATCACTTCCTACAGGAGTTAGTCCTGGGAAGAAGTCAGACCACCTTTAGTGCAGTTTGGGAATTGGACTGGGCTCTATCTTTCATGTCCCCAGTAGTTTGGAGCACCCTAATCCTGGCACTACAGAGCTTCCTCCTGGGTGATTCTCTGTTTACAGCCTTGGCTTCTCCTGCCCCTCCAGTTAACAGGCCTCTTTTGCATTCTGTGTCTTCCTTCCATTGTACCCTTGTCCAGTGTGTGGTCCCAACCCTTCCTGGTAGATATTCCCTCTCCTCTCAATTTCCTGACCAAAGGAAATGCTGGGCTGTGGGGGATGAAAAGTCCCCAGCTCCTTCAATCTTGCATCAAGGAACCAGCTTCTTCAGGTTCTCTGGACATCCCAGTGTTTCATCTTAATCCCCAGACTTTTTCATAGCTGTGCTGGAGAAAGTCCCCGTGTGCTCTGCGACTTACTGCACTACCATTCGGAGGCCCTGTGTCAATAATGGCCAAAGCCAAAGTAAAAATGTGTACCAAAAAGATTCTCAGGTATGTTTCTGTGGAGGGCAACAGGTAATGGGTTGGGGAGGACAAGAGACAGTCTCATATAATATATTAGGTCATGACTGTTCCATTGAAATACACTAGCGTTCTGGCATGTCTTAAATACTCATCCCCTATTCACT